AGATGACACCAAGTTGGGCAGGAGTGTTGATCTAGTAGAAGGTAAGAAGGCTCTACAGAGGGGTCTGGACAGGCTGAATCCATGGGCCAAGGCCAACTGCATGAGGTTCAACCAGGCTCAGTGCTGGGTCCTGCACTTGGGTCACAACAACCCCATGCAACGCTACAGGCTTGGGGAAGAGTGGATGGAAAGCTGCCTGGAGGAAAAGGACCTGGGGGTGTTGGTTGACAGCCAGCTGAATATGAGCCAGCAGTGTGCCCAGGTGGCCAAGAAGGCCACCAGTATCCTGGCTTGTATCAGAAATAGTGTGGCCAGCAGGACGAGGGAAGCGATTGTCCCCCTGTACTCAGTACTAGTGAGACCACCCCTCGAGTACTGTGTTCAGTTTTGGGCCCCTCACTACAAGACAGACATTGAGGTGCTGGAGCACGCCCTAAGAAGGGCAACAAAGTGGTGAAGGGACTGGAGCACAAGTCTTAATGAGGACCAGCTGAGGGAACTGGGGTGGTTTGGCCTGGAGAAGAGAAGGCTGAGGGGAAACCTTATTGCTCTCTGCAGCTACCTGAAAGGAGGTTGTAGTGAGGTGGGTGTTGGTCTCTTCTCCCAAGTAACTAGCAAAAGGACAAGAGGAAATGGTCAAGTTGCATCGGGAAGGTTTAGATTGGATATTAGGAAAAATTTCTTCACCGAAAGAGTCATCAGGCTTTGCAACAGGCTACCCAGAGAGGTGGTGGAGTCACCATCCCTGGAGGTGTTCAAAAAACACGTAGACGGGGCACTTCGGGAAATAGTTTAGTAAACATGGTGATGTTGGGTTGACGGTTGGACTTGATGATCTTAGAGGTCTTTTCCAATCTTAAAGATTCTATGATTCTATACATAAGGGCTATCCATCACTGCACAGTGACAGAGCATTGCATACCTATAAAGGTTGTTAACCAGGAGAGTTACCCTGTTCCACCAGCATTGCTTCTTTTGGAAGCCATTCAGTCTGAAGCAAAGAGCAAACATCTTGCTCACCTAGGTTATGCAAAGCCGCGATGCTATCTGTTTGCAGAGTCACCCTACTGCATAAAGGGAGCACATCCATGGCCAGAGGCTTCCTGGGCCCCCCTTCAATGAGGTATTTATGATCATTTCCTTTTAGGCCTGAACATTAATACATCTTATCTGCCATGTGGATTATTACTACCCTTAAGCAATCTGAAAATCAAAGTACACATAGCAATGCCATGCACTAGCGATGGTTTGGTCCTATCAAAGCTTGCCAGTTTGAACTACACAAACAACTAAATGAAGAACATGTCCTACTCCAAATTAAAAATCATGGGAAAGTCCAAAAAGCATATGCTGGAAGAATGAACTCCTGCTGGAATAGGAAGGAAATTAAACCTGTCTAGTCACATCTTACCTAATTGCGGCCAAGACATGTATGCCACACTCTGTTGCTGAGTTCTCTACAGGGCACAGCAGAATATAAGACTTTGTCTCTTACAGGAGGGGTTCTGCCTCTTAAAGCATCTTTAATTTTGGGATTAAACACCTGTGTCTTCTCAGACGTGAACTAATGCAAGGAATAACTATTTTCAGAAAGTCTGAGCCACACCTTCCCAGAGTGTCTTTTATATCCAAAGATGTAGAACTGGCTAATACAAGAGTTTACAGGGGTCTTGCTTTGCTGTGTAAAGTCCCTACATGATAGGCTGACAGCAGAAGCCATTGAAACTACTAGGTGAATATAATCTGAAATCCTGCCTGCACTTAGCATCAGAACAATCTTTTTTAAGGCAAGATGAACTGCTGATGACCTAATGTCTTTAAGAGGTACAAAGACAACAAGCAGGTGAGCATTACTTGAAGAGACCAGAGATCTCTTGCAGCCAAGATTTCACTTACATCCTTTGTGGTGGGTTATTTTCACATCATGAGAAAATGTAGTAACTTAAATCACATACTGAACAGTCTGGATGCTGTTCCAAGAATGCCTCTGTAGACTATCTTGACCATCCAGACTGTTTACACCATTATGTGGGAGAACTCAGACTGGAAATGAGAAAAAATACTCTCCCAGCTTGACAGCTGTGATAAAAAGGCACTTAAGTCAGAGGGTATCTGACTTACAGTGCACATCTTAACTGTAGTTGCTCCAGCTGAGCAAGGGAATAATACCGCCAGATTGTGATGACTGTTCTGACCCATAGGATGGGGTACAAATAACTTGTTTCTTGGAGAGAAAAAAAACGCCACACTTACTCAGAAAATATTGTCCTTTTTGGTTCCAAAAATTACATGCCTACATACTACACCACAAACTAAAATCTAATCTTATATTAGTGATAAAACCTAGCCTAACAGCACATTGCATTGTTTTGATAATTAGACCATTAAGAAGAAAACACATGGAGGCATCATAGGACTCTCATTAGACACTATGAGCTGGGCAAGCATCCACGGAAAAATATAAAATCATTTAGCTGGATTTTCCACCCAGTTAATCAGTCCTGAAGCCAATGGAATCATTGTATAATTAAGCAGACTTCTCTACAGAGCTCATAACAGTTCCCACTGCTTTAATAACCTGCCTATGTGTCAGAGAAGCTGAAGAAAAAAGAAAGTTTCAGGATTGAGGGTAACTTTAAGAAACTCATTCTGACTATCAGGCAGTTGAGGAACTATGAACATTGATATTTAACATTACAGTGGCAACAAAGTTAGTCAGTAGCATTTTACAGCATCAAAGTATTGTATTATTAAGCAGCTCTACCATTTTTTCATCTCAGTTTTGAAGTAAAAAAGCATATGGTAATGTGGTATGCATAAGAGTTACTGCTCTCATGCAACATATTACAGTCCTATTAATATACTATAAAAGATACTAGTAACTCGTTTCACTTAGAAGTGTCTTTTTAACTAAATATATTATGTATAGAATCCTGCGTTTAGCAAGAAAAAAGCTAAGAAATATTGCCTAAGAAACTGCAGAAGACTAATATGCTTGTTATACATTTTATTGTTTCGATAGATTTTTTTTTAACACCACATATATCTCAAAAGTGGACGTTTCCCCACTGTATAGAAACTTAAGTTATTGCAGTTATATGTATAATGCTGTACTAAACGTTATTATGAAACGATAATTTAGTTAGTGGAAGAGTAGACTACAAGCACAAAATCAAATTGATAATTAAGGACAACAATGACATCTAGTGGACACTCGGAAAAACAGACCCATCACCTCATGGAAGGAAAAGATCCAGATGCTGTTATACAATGTGCAACTCCCAAATTGCTACAATGCAATTAGGATTAAAAGACAGAATTTGCAGCTCATGAAAGTCGAAGTAATATGATGATTCATTTCTTTCAAAGAATATTTAAGATTTAGAATAAAACTATAGGTCAAAACTTGAGACATCAGAAATCATTGAAAGGATATAAATAGATGCATAGCGCCAACATAATAGAGGCATATGTTTACTACACTTTCTATTCCCACTGCATCTACAACCTTTTCAGTTACTCTTGCTGGGACTTCAAACACCAAAAAGAGTGAAAACAATAAGAATCCCCAAAGTAAAAATTCAATGCACTATTCAACATCTCCCTCTTCTTGTCATTCCAATCCTTCTGGTTTGTAATACCTGCCCTATAAGGGAGGTAAATTAAGCCTTCCCAATATATCAGCCAGTAGCTGCTGAGCTCCAGAGAAGAGGAATCTGAAACATAAGGCTACTGTGACTCAAAAGTAGCAAAGACACCTGCTCATGAGTAACCTGATTGGTTTACAAGGTGGACTTCCACAAAGATCATGGATTATTTCAAATCTGCTTTTAGTATTTACCAAAAGGCTAGCAAAACTAAGCAGTTAAAGCAACTCAAAACTGATGTTATTTGTTCCATCAAAGAAACTTTATGGCTAGAAGTATCACCATGAAAAAAATACTGCGTTTGACATTTGTAAATAAAAACATTAACAAAACACTACAAATTTGTCCCATTAAAAGTCTTAGGCATCAAATGTCATATCCACAGAAATGGAAATTGGATTTTGCATCACATTGTTAAAAATAAAAATACTGCATCCCTTCCAAGGTTTCTACATCTCGGTGATTGTCCAGTATAAAAAAAAATGCATTGCAAAAGATTAGAAACTATACTCAAAAATAAAATATCATTTATGAACACATCTGGTTGTAGTGTACATTAGACTTCCAATTTAAATTGGTATCTTGCTTGCTTCATATGTGATTTTGGAGAAGTGAGTATTGCAATTTCCCTAGCTCTCACCATCAGTAGTGACTAGTCAGCTATTAGCAAATATGCAACAGATTCTCACTTTATATATAAGATTTGCTAACCAGTAGAATACAAAGAAACCTTTGCATAACTGATGACCAGGCCTTGTGTCCAAATTTCTTCGTGCCAAGGTCTCAAAATGAGATTTGAATCAGATGCTATTAGTTAATAAGAGTACACGCAGCCTCTCAAAAATGAAATCCAGACTCCAAAGATACTTATGCACCATACACAACCATAACTAAAACCTGCAGTTTTAAATTCTGATTCCTAGTGAGTCTCAATAGCTGAGCAACCCATTCCTGAAAACTTTATCTTTTTTTTTTAAGTCTAAAAATGTAAGCATTTAAAAGCCAAGTCTCCCTTTTGATGTATGCAATGCATAGGGTTTGCAGATATTTTAAGTGATATCAAAGTTTAACCAATTCTAAACAGTCCAGTTCTAGGAAAACCTCACTCTCATTCCATTACAGTATCTATGTATCAAGTCTGTTATAACCATGTTGGTAATGGAGCCTGAAAAAAACAGAAACCAGCCTAGTAAATTTACAGGATAAAAACTAAAAGCACACATCAAAATAAGCCCAGTCACTTTCCCCCTCGAAGTATAGTGCCATAATTTACCTCCAAAACCAGTTTTACTACATCAGATGTCCTAATGAGAGAGGACTATTTTAAGACAGAGTAAAGCATCATTGACCTACCCGGATTTCCTGGAGATTATGAAAATTATTTCCTACTCTGACAGAGATTTTGCTCGGAGTATAACTTTCATCAGATTTGTAGTCTGCATAAATACATAACGTCTTCACTGTTGTTTTTCTTCTGCAAGAAGCAACAAAAGCTATGTGAGCATCATAAAGAAAAATATTCAGGATGAGTTTGTTGCTAGTTTGTAACAACTAAGGATTTAAATGTTCTAAAACTTAATACAAGTGTGTCTACTGATTATAAGAACACCACTGTTAAAGCAACTAGGTGTTTCTCTACATTAAGTTATGCACAGAGTTGATTTTCACTCTTCTCCTTTGACTGCCTTCAGAAGCGTCAGCATACCAAGAAATACAACAAAAGGCCAAGGTGCCAAACACACACTTGTATGTGATGAAGCATATGTTTAGCTTATCAAATATGGGGTCTATTACTATACCAAAAAGAGTTCTCCAGAAAGCAAGTAAAAAAAGGTGACAAACATCTAACCTCAACTTAAGAGTTTGGTTAAAGAAAAAAAGACTGAAAGCATCCTACACAGAATAGAATAGGAAAAGGCTTCTCAAACAATCAGTTAAGTCATGCAGGACTACTATAGAAACAGTCATCTACCCCTCAAATTACTCTCAAAGAGCGTCAGGACAAAAATGTCACCTTAGGTAGGTAAATGTGAAACTGCTACAAATAACATACTATTATATATTCCATTTTGTTGCTTATTTAGGCATTTAGTAAGCATAACATCTGAAAATCTCATTTTTAGAAATGCTATTTAACTGGCTTCTTACCAGTTGGGTAACAGGATTAACCCAGGGGTCCTTGCACTTCCAAAATTCCTATCCTGGAGGACAGTAGTCAATGCAAAGTTATACAAAACACCCTAGCCCATATAGAGTAAATTTTAATACCTAAATTGAATGTTCACCAAATGAGGCTGAGATCCATCTGACTGCCAGTAAGTTTCTAGATTATCATCTCGTAACTGATCCACTCCAAATCCTAAGAAAAAGAAAATGTGATAGTCTTGAACATCCCATTTGCATGACATAACTTCTCTTCAGCTGTTACAAACTAAGGTATGCATTTCCTTATATGCATAACATAAGGAAATATTTCTAGACATCCAAGTTGTGCCTATGCTTTTGTGACACAAAACTGAAACAGGGCAATCTGTCAATCAAAGCTCAATACTTGAGTGTCTTTACATTTTTATCTCCTATTGAAGTCTGTAGGGTTTGAAGCCATTCAACATGTCCTGAAATTTCAAATGGTTAAGTAGTAATTCATACTAATTGCAAGAACAATACTTAATGTTTAGGCTTGTCCACATATTCTATAATCTAACTGCTGAGCTAAATGAAAATCATTAGCAGAGACCATTCATTTATTATAAAATTTTAGCCAAATATAACATTTTCAAGTAGTCTCCTGAAATATTTTTACTTTTTCAAGTTAGTAGATAGAAGAAGCAATAGATGCCAAAAACAGTATTCCTGAAAGTTAATGCTGCCATTTAAAGAAACAACTCTAAATCTTTATTTTTCCACTCCCTCCTTATGTCCTTTTACTAATCACATCCTTTCATTGATTGCCCACACTAGTGGCAGTTTTAATGCAGCAGTTCAAGTTTAATCTGCAATAAGAAAAAAAAAAATTATCTTCACTCTGTCTGAAGCGACTAAACCATATGATATTTTTCTCCAAGTAAGATACCAGGATATCAGACCAAAGATGTTCAGCCTAAGCACAATATTGTGACATAAAGGGATCCTTGACTCTACGCTGCAGCAGATACCAGATCAATTCCCAACAGATATTTCTGAAATAGCAACTCAACCATCTCAAATGAAAAGAATACAGATTTTCAGATATTTTGAGCAGTTATAAGTATCATTAACTGCATGGCCATTTACAATAGCTTCATTTTACTTGCAGGATTTTAGGGAGCAACACTACAACGGCCAAGTCCACACAAAGTTTAGATGGAACACTTAGGTCACCAAGCTGCATGGTTTTTCTAAGTTAAAAATTGAAGATACTCAGGCAAAATACCAAAGCGTGGAAACAATTACACAGTGCCTCTGTGTTTCTGCTAACATGGTTTAGTTTGTTCACTGTGCAAGTAAAAAAACCAATTTAGTATAAAAACAGCAAAAGATCTCTTTTGTTAATACAAGGTATTTCCTCATTGTAGGGTTTCTGATATTGTTATAACTTTCATATTGCAACAAATATAGACCAGGCCAAAATTATTTGTAGTGGCTACCCATACAGCTTACACTACAGCAGTATTACTGCTACACTCTGTATGTATGCTGTCTTATCAAAACATAAAACACTATATGTTCTAAGAAGAAAAACATACATTCAGCTTTTTACATTATTTGTTGTGATTTTACCTGGCTTACAGGATGAAAGAGACCAAACTGCTTGTGAGCCTATTTCTCTAACAGTACCAGTCCTCTCTAACTGCTTTGGATCAGCACCAGGTGGTGTCTTGTTTGGGGTAGTCATTTCTAGTAAAGGAAAAAAAATGAGTTAGTTGATACATTTCTAGCTTGATGGGAAAATTAAAGGGTTGTGTTTGTTCATATAGACACTCCAATTCTTTGGCCTCACACTTATATAATAGTGGTTTAAACATATACATATATGTATACATTCCTGAATATCTTAGAACTTTTTACTTATATAATAAAATAATATATATAAAG